TGACCTCACAGTACAGTCATTACACAGTCACCTCACAGTACAGTCATTACACAGTCACCTCACCGTACAGTCATTACACAGTGACCTCACAGTACAGTCATTATACAGTCACCTCACCGAACAGTCATTACATACTTCACCTCACAAACACACGAACTCATACGCACATGCACATAATTATAGCCACACACACACACACACACACACACACACATGGTTTCACAAGATACACATAAAAACTCCACACACACACACACACACACACACACACACACACACACACACACACACACACACACACACACACACACACACACACACACACACAGAACATATTAACTTTTCTTTGTAATTGCGAGACTGCAACAATAAAACCCTCACTTGCTCTTGACGTTATCATATCCAAGGAACATTAATCCAATATTGTCAAGATTAAGTATATCCTCTCACAGACCGGTAAGCTGCACTCATTTCTGAAGCTTTGTGTCAATACTGATCCCAACGTGACACACCAACATGAATTACACTGAAGCACACATAACATGAACCAACCTTAATATCAACCTTGAGTAACCACGTCCCCACGAAGGGTAATTGTCCTCGCATGATGACTTTACAAGCTAAGGGCAATTTTGTCGAATGTGTTTAACCCTTAGAAACCCCACATATGACCTTGTCACCCTTACAACCATGTTAAGTATTGAAGCCTTTTTTCTCCTCATTCACTTTCCTGTACGGGATGGAAAGACACACAGTCATATACACAACAGACAGAACGAGAGACACGGTTTGCTAGATTCCTCGGTTTATGAGAAAATATAATAACGAAGACGTGTTTATTGTGTTGGTAAGATATTGAAGTGTGTTAACAAAATGAAGGAAAAGTGTGTGGGTGTGTGTGTGTGTGTGTGTGTGTGTGTGTGTGTGTGTGTGTGTGTGTGTGTGTGTGTGTGTGTGTGTGTGGGTGTGTGTGTGTGTGTGTGTGTGTGTGGGTGTGTGTGTGTGTGTGTGTGTGTGTGTGTGTGTGTGTGTGTGTGTGTGTGTGTGTGTGTGTGTGTGTGTCCTTATATCACCCAGTTAACCAAATACTCCCATATCAACCAAAAGAGCTAAACAGAAACAAGTGACTACCGCGAGTATAAGCCAAGTCTGGTATTATTGTAGAGAATTCAATAACAAAAGGTCGTATAATATGGATAAAATTCCCTTCCCTAACGAGATTTTGAATGTAACTATTACAAATCCCTTGATGTTATTAAAAAAAAAATCTACAAAAGAAATATAGAAAAAAATACGTTTATATCAACAAAACCAATGTTGTTTTTGACGCGATATTTCACGTTTGTTTGTTTTTTTATGGCCGTTTTGGTCATATTTGTTTGTTTTAAATATCCCAATATGTCCGCCTCAACACACTGATAAATTTCTTAGGGCCACAGACCTGTAATTTTGGTATTGACTTTTCCTAAAAAACTATTGGAATATTTTAAATTGTTTTCCTATCCCAATCACAGTAAACGTAAATACACTGTATACGTAAACCTGTGCTCAAAACGTGCAGAAAACTCACGCAAATTGCTTTTAAAACGAGACCGATCAGAAAGTCAGAGTAAAAAACGTAAAAAGTTTCTCAAGGGAAAAGTATTGAAAGTGCGTCCAAGAATTCCTGGCCTGGCGGGGCAGTGGGGGCTCCAACACACCACCTCAATTTAAGCTCAGCGTATCACTGAGCTGAGATTCTCCTATTTCTGATAATGTGGCCTCTCTCTCTCTCTCTCTCTCTCTCTCTCTCTCTCTCTCACCATTTAATACACAAGGCGAGAACTAATAATTAGGCCTAATAGAATTTAATTACAGGTGCGTATAAAAGTTTTAATAGCGTTGAGTCATTGAATGTTAATAGATTTTATATAACATTTTCTATGACGACCCCCCCCCCACTGTCATAATAATAATAATAATAATAATAATAATAATAATAATAATAATAATAATAATAATAATAATAATAATAATAATAATAATAATGTTAGGTTAGGTTAGGTTAGGTTGAATTCAGGATCCTGTTCTCAAATCCTGAAATTAGCGAGGTGCACATTCTTGCTGACGCATTATCGGACGCACAACCGCTAGCACATCTTCTGACACACCTACTAACACACCTATCAACACACCTACTCACTTACCTACTAACACACCTACTCACACACCTACCAACACACCTACCAACACATCTACCAACACACCTACCAGCACACCTACTAACACACCTACTAACACAACTACTAACACAACTACTAACACAACTACTAACACACCTACTAACACACCTGCTAACACACCTACCAACACACCTACCAAAACACCCACCAACACACCTACCAAAAGACCCACCAACACACCTACCAACACACCTAACACACCTACTAACCCGCAGGCTAACACACCTGCTAACACACCCACTAACACACCTACCAACACACCCACCAACACACCTACTGACATGCTCATATCTTCATCCACACAGTACGTCTAATGAGCTTGTCAAGTTGGTCTTATTTTTTTACTCAACTTCTTGGGGGATTTTTTTTTTTTTTTTTTTTTTTACATTTTTTGCTAAACTTGGTTACTGTATTTTTATCTTGAGAGTCGGTGTGTTTTCTTTACTGCTGTAGATCGTCTTTTTCTGTGGGTTGCTTTATGGAGTTGGTTTCATTTTCTTAAACTATATTTCTCTTCGTTTTCTATAATAGGAGGTGACTGCATTTTCTACAACTAAGACTATTTTCGGGTGTTTTATTTAGAACTCCCCTCCTCTGTGTTTTGTCGAATATACCTGACTACGTTTTCTTTAGTTTCCCCTCCCTACGTTTTCTTTAATGTTGTCTACGTTTTCTTTAACTACCCCTGTCTACATTTTCTTTAACTATCTCTTTCGTCTTTTTTTAAACTAACCGTGGTTGCGTTTTCTTTACTTTAGCTTTCACTGTCTCTACCATACCTCCTCGAGAACTACCAGAAGGCTCTCAGCCACACCATTAAGATGATGTGATACTCGCTAGTGTAGACCAACCTGAGACACGATGGGAGAGAAGGAAATTCAACGAGGAAATAAAAGAAGGGAAGGAAAGGCTTAAAGAAGGGAAGGAAGAACTTAAAAGAGGGAAGGAACGACATGAAGGAGAGACTAATTATAAAAAGATTAAAAAGGCGTAAAATGGGGAAAAGAGACATTTGAATAGTAGATAATAGGGTTGAAATGGGAAGGGGTGGAATTTGAATGAGAATGAAAGGATCTTAACTGGGAAAGAATATGCATTAAATAAGGATAAAATCAAGGTGGAATAGAAAAAAAAGAACATGATATGGGAAAGGTATGTATACCTGGAAACAGAAAAATAAAAGAGTTGTTATGGGTAAAAATAGAAGAAAAAAAAGTTGACGTAGAAGAATATAAACTTAAAATACGAAAGGGAGACTTGAATTAAGGAAGAGAAATGGAAGAACCCAACTTTGAATGGCTTGAGGTTGACATGAGATAAGTGAATAAAGTTGGACGAGGGGAGAAAAATGCAGAGAGAGGGAGACAGAGAGAGAGAGAAAGATAATAAAGAAGTAAAGGGGAGACAGAAAGACTTACTGACAGAAAGACAGTAAGAAGGATAGAGGGAGAAACATACACAAATACACAGAGACAGGTAGACAATAAGACAGACAGACAGACAGACAGAGAGAGAGAGAGAGAGAGAGAGAGAGAGAGAGAGAGAGAGAGAGAGAGAGAGAGAGAGAGAGAGAGAGAGAGAGAGAGAGAGAGAGAGAGAGAGAGAGAGAGAGAGAGAGAGAGAGAGAGACTAAAATTGCTGAAGTCTGGAACACTATGATGAGGGTCGGGGGAGCAGTAAAGTTAAAAGAGAAGGAGAGAGAGAGAGAGAGAGAGTGTCCAAAATCTTTGAACTGTGACAAAACAAACACAGAAAGAATGAGAAGACCGCTAAGGAGGGAAGAGAGAGAGAGAGGCTAAAATATCTAAGGTGTGGCCCAGGGTTGATGGGGGTTGTGGGAGCAGTAGAGGTGTAGAGTAAAGAGTGATGGAAGGACAGGAGGTGAGAGGTCAAGAAAAGGTCACCAGGTCATAGCGTGAGAGGAAGATGAAGGAGAGGCGTATCTATCTATCTATCTATCTATCTATCTATCTATCTATCTACCTATCTATCTATCGTAAAAATAGTAAACTAATTACCACCATTATTATTATCTACATTAATATCACCCTTTTCTCTTAAGCTTTGTGTTAAGTCATTTATATGTCATCATATCCAACAACCAAACTGGTTGCAGGTAAACCACTTATACCTGTTATTCACCTGAACATCAACAATTAATCACCCGAAACACATGTAAAAGTAATTCCTCATAAAATCCACAGCAACAAGGTTAAGAAATAGTCCATCAACACAGAGCATAATTCATCGTCGTGTGTCGCGTTGCCGGCCACAAAAGTCACACATGAACAACTGCAGTGTCTCTCTGTCAGGGTGTGAAGAGATGGCGTCTCTTATCCGTGATCAAACTCCGGCTCCTGGCATTATAGATTCATGGAACCTTGATTAAGATACGGCTCGGTTTCTTCACGACTCTGTGTGTGTGTGTGTGTGTTTGTGTAAAAGTGAATAATTTATTCTATTCTTTCTGTGTACACATTATCTGTTTATCTACCTGGATGTACTGTACCTAAGACGAATCTGAGGTACCTGTTAATATTAATAAGGTGTTCCTATGCGGATGACCTTGATGTTATTGATAATATTTCTGGTGAAACTAAGATGTATCTAAGTGCCACAAATGTTTTCTGCGTACCTGAGGTGATGGTAGTGATAGAATAGGTGGAAAAAAAAGGTATACAGGTGCAGATTTTGTTCCCCTTGCACAGATGGCTGGTGTCGGAGGTGTTGTAAGTAATAATCAATTAACCAGATGTATCTATTGTTCTTCCTGCACAGGTGCATGACCATGAAGGGAGGCGGGTTGTGGTGGTAGATGTGGGGCTGGAGGCGACTGACGTGTACAGGTGTGAGCTGGTAGCAGAGGGGCCGCCCTTCCACACTACCCAGAGGTCATCCAACATGACTGTCGTCGGTAGGTTGATGTGGAGATAATTGTTATTGTAATAATGTATAGATATACATTTATATAAGTGTGTGTGAGAGTATAAGTGTAGGCTTCCCCAGACGCAGATTAAAACACAAATCTTGCTATCGAGATCAATATTCTACACGAGGCATCAGGTCAAAGGTCAAGTTTTCATCGAGCTCCGAAACGTTTAAAGACGATCTCACCCTCGTAACAATGAGAAGTGTTACGTAATTTCCTGTATTCTCTCCCTACAATGTATCTCCGAGGTGGTGATCAATGATTGGCAGGTGACCAATAATTTATAATGTTCTTAAATTTATGTTTATTTTTATCTAAAAGAAAAATAATAATTTCATATATACAATAACTCGCCCGTATTTTCAGTTACTTAATGTTTAAAGTAGACCTGTCGTTCACTTCACCCACTATTTACTAAATCATTTTCCTTTTTCTGTTATTCGGACGAGATTTTCAATTTTTGTTCATTTTTAGTGTACTAAAAAATATTCCCCGATCTTTTTTTATTTTCTATTGTGTGTCAATTTTCCCTTTGTTACTTTGTGCCGGAGGCTTTTATCCTTTTTTTTCAATTTTAGTGTTTGTCGATTTTTTCTCGGTGTTTTAAGAATATTAATAATTGTGTTTATCATTTTGACCTTCATGTTCTTCATCATCTGTTTAGTTTTAAATACAAGCAACTGGTTGAAAATAAAAGAATCTAACGCAAAGTTTGAATAATTTCACTGAAATGAAAGAGCGAGTATGTGTTATTATGCAAACATTATGTGTGTGTGTGTTTGTGTGTGTATGTGTGTGTGTGTGTGTGTGTGTGTGTGTGTGTGTGTGTGCGTGTGTGTTCACTTAAAAGTACTCCATCACAGAAACACACACGTCCAAAGAACAGCACTGTACAATCCCCATAAAAGTCTTCTCTCTCTCTCTCTCTCTCTCTCTCTCTCTCTCTCTCTTCTGCCTGTAATTATATTTTATTTCTGTGTGGTTATTTAATTTAGAGAGGGGGGGGGTGGGGGGGTGGGGGGAACGGTGAAAGGGGGAAAGAGAAAAATAATTAGCTGAGGGAGAGACACAAATAAAAATGAAAGAGCTAGATAGAGCGAGTGACAGATAAAAGACAGAGGCACAGACAGATAAAGGAAGATAGAGTGACAAACAGAGGAAGAGGGACAGATAAACAGACAGACAGACAGAGGAAAGGAGACAGACAGGCAAACTGATTGAGGAAGAAATAAAGAAATAGAGACGGAGGAAGAGACAGACAGACAAAAAGACAGAGGAAGAAATAAAGAGATAGAGACGGAGGAAAGAGAGACAGTAAGGAACATCCGCCTCCCTCACACTAACACACGCCAGTAGCATAAAGACCGAACAAGAAAATTACTCGTTTTTTCATGTTTCTGCCTCCTGGTCGGCGAGGATGTTGTCAACCCCGTGTTAAGCTGGTCTGAAGAGCCGATGAAAAGATTTCCTCTCTTTGTATATACAGTATATTTATTACTTGTTTATTTAGGTTAGGTTAGGTTAAGTTAGGTTAGGCTAGGCTAGGTTAGGTTAAGTTAGGTTAGGTTGGTTCAGAGCTTCAATGTATGTACAGTACAGTAAACTTATCGTGATGGTTTTGTTGATGTTTCTCGTGTATATAAGAAGCCTATATGAGAATTGTAACCCTTGGGCATAAAATTTTAAGTCAGGGAAGGGGCCAAGATTCCTTTGTGAAGGCAGAATAGTGAGTAAAAAGCCCCGCACTAAGGTGATTAGTTTGTGAAAAGTTTGGGTCAAAATAAGTAGGTGGATCCAAGTTAAGGTTCTCCTATGAATAAAAAGTGAAAGTGAAAGTGGGTCCCATAGGTATGAATGCCATTTAGGGACAGTGTGGATACAATACACCGTATATTAAGCCATCGGTACACGAGGAGGCAGCATGACCGGTACTGCACTTGACCGCATTCACCTCCCGAATTTGTAAACTTAGGTACTTATTTACAGCTGGGTGACCTGGGAACGCAGGGGGATCGAACCACCGAAACCTGGAACAGAAAGCCAGCGCTATATCCCTAAAGTCTTCAACCACCTCAGGCAGTGTTATCATAAACCCAGTAGTGTGTGTGTGTGTATGTGTGTGTGTATGTGTGTGTGTCGAGGGGAGCAGAGATCTTATAAAGAGAAGGAAACACACGAAGACTTCAGAAACAGTGGTCGGAACCGTAGAAGAAACACACTAACCGATACCTCATTAAACAGTACCCCAGAAACACCCGTCGAATAGAAAACAAAAAACAAGAGCGAAAACCTTGAGACAAAAAAAAAACGGTACTTGACCACCTTTCTACCTGGAAGCCCAAGGAGAGTGTTTGTTTCTCGTCACTTAATAGATATCTGAAGATCTTAAAGGTCTTCCCCCAAACACATATAAAACTTCTTCTTGAACTCGGTGAAAAGTTGTTGACTGCAGCTCGGTTGATTTTAGAAATATTCCGAATTGGTTCTTTGTTTACTGACTGAGTTGTGTGTGAAGTTTGGTGACAAGAATCAGGAATTAATTAGTTATAACCGGCTTGACTGACTGACTGAAACAATATATCCTTCGTCCCTATCACGCCGCAGGTTTCTCATTTGCACCCCTACCTCGTACTCGTTAACCCATCTGACTAGCCACTAAAGCAGCGGATGATCGAGTCGCCTCTCTCTGCGTTGATCACTCGTGCCGACACAAAAGTTACTTGCGTCATTAGCTGAGTCCTCTTGTTAGCTTTGCTGTGTGTGTGTGTGTGTGTGTGTGTGTGTGTGTGTGTGTGTGTGTGTGTGTGTGTGTGTGTGTGTGTGTGTGTGTTTTCTACTCCCCACTGTCTTTGATTAGCTCTTTCTCTGACCTTGTGATTAACTTGACCTGAATTAGTGAAAATCACAGTTAATTGCGTCTGTTTTCTAGTTTTGTGTTTGTATTTGAAATATTATGAGGTATATCGTATGTTCCTTGATTTACTGTACAAATAAGTTGTGTGTTTGTTGAGTCCATGTACAGGAAAAAAAAGAGATATGTGTTTGTTGATTCAATGTAGAAAGAACTGCAGTGTGTTTGTTTACCTTGATTATACAGCACCTTGTCTCGTTGGCTCTGTTTACTCACCAGGCGTAAATAAGGGTCCTTTATATAATGCCTCTACTCCAACAAGTAATAAACACGCTTCTATTCTATATAATAATGTGGTGAGAAAAACGTATTTTCCCATAATGAAGCAGGCGTGAAATAAATTATTAATAAAACATAATGAGAAAGGTAAAGGAGATTGATATCGATGAAGTGTTTCGTTAATAGGAACTCGAGTGGTGTGAGAGGATAAGGAAGAGGTAAAGCTAAGGGTGTACACCTTAATGAAGCAATATTAAGGTAAAGGGGAAGTAATTAACCTGTGTTGTTTGCTGTGCCTTAGTGTATTATGTACTATCCGTCCGTCCGTCCATTCATCCGTCCTTGCCTTAGATATTGTAGCGCTCACTGTGTAATATAATCTACTCTTACAGTCTACAGTACCGTGAGAAACTGTACTCAAAATTGGTACCAACACTTTAGTCAGGTAATAAAATGTAATGTTAGTAAGCCAATATGGCGCATGTATGTGTGTGTGTGTGTGTGTGTGTGTGTGTGTGTGTGTGTGTGTGTGTGTGTGTGTGTGTGTGTGTGTGTGTGTGTGTAATTTTCATCGTCAGTGGTCCTCTACTCTGGACAAATTTCCTTTAAGGAGATAACATTTATTTCTATTATGTAAGAGACGAAATCATTAATGGTTCATAAATCAGTCAACATTGACAGTCTTCTGCAATTAACAGAACGACTTCCTACGCGATATTAAAAATTTGAATTATATTATTATTAACTATGAAAAAGTAAATAATGATAGAAAGAAAAAAATACTAAGAACATCAGGAAAGAATTTGTATTTAAATAGACGATTCTAATTGTTAATTCTTGCGTTAACCTTGTCTATTATTTCACACAAATTTATTATTGTTCGTTGATATAATTTCTTTAATCATGTAGTGAGAAAATATAATTAAACGAATATATTCAACAGACAGACCAACACTCACACATCAACAGTTACCGGTACATTAAAATTCCCAATCTCCTATATACAATGAGAGGCAAATATTCATAAAAAGGCTAAAATCCATTAAATTCCTGACAGTCGAGTGTCATGCAACATAAAAGAGGTAAATCGAGATGCTCTTCCCCAGGCGATGCTCTTCTGTTTTTCCCTTCATTTTTCAGAATCATTTCGTAAATAAAATGAAAGTGAAATACAATATGAAAAAAAAAATTTAATAAATTTAAATCAGTACAACATGAGATAATCATTTCTCAGTTGTGGATAATATAAACTAATGAAATACAAAAGGAATTAGAATGCACTAGTTGGACTTGGCAATATACGTCTTTCTCACTTCATTTGTAACTCTGAATCCGATTTCAAAGTCTCCGAGAGAGAAAAAAAGTTAGACAATAGATTTTTTCTTGTCAAGTTTCATTCCTGTGACTTTTTCTCCTCGTTCGCTTGTTGGCTTTATCACTAGTTTCTTCTCTCTGTCTCAGCAGTAAAGTACTATTGATGGACTCGGATATTAATACCATTAAGTGCTGAAGTTCCCGACGGCTGGATTATTTTATATTGTATCTCTGAATGATTTACTGAAGTTCTTGCGTGTTCTTGACTCTAAGTTCTAAAGGTCCTTGAAGAACAAATCTATATATTTCACATTTCAACGACATACAAGATATACATACATACATACACATACATACATACATACATATATTTTTTTTTATGTGTGTGTTGTATACAATCATTTTTAATAAAAAATAGAGACAACAGAGAGAAGCAGCTTGTGTAGGGCTGAGTACGCATTAACCTCCATAATGACCTAATTAACCTTGTATGAATTAGACCCAAAAATATAACTACCGTACATTGTTCTATGATACAAGG